TATTTATATATAATTCATATAACATACAATTCACCTATTTCAAGTAAACAATTAAATGGTTTATAGCAGGGATCACCAACCCCCAGGCCACGGACCAGTATCCGAGCCCTGCCTCCTGTCAGATCAGTGGTGGCATTAGATTCTCATAGGAGCACAAAGCCTATTGTGAACTGCACATGCCCGGGATCTAGGTTGTGTTCTCCTTATGAGAATCTAATGCCTGATGATCTGTTACTGTCTCCCATCACCCTCAGATGGGACCATATAGTTACAGGGAAACAGCTCAAGGCTACCACTGATTCTGTGTTATTGTGAGTTGTATAATTATTTCATTATATGTTACAGTGTAATAATAATAGAAATAAAGTGCACAATAAATGTAATGCACTTGAATCATCCTGAAACCATCCTCCTCCAACCCCTCACCTCTGGTTCATGGAAAAATTGTCTTCCACAAAACCAGTCCCTGGTGCCAAAAAAGTTGAGAACTGTTGGTTTATAGTATATTCCCAAATATGTGCCACCATCACTGTAATCAATTTTGTAACATTTTATAACCTCAGAAAGATACTCCATACTCTTTAGCTATCACTCTTCTATCCCCTATCCCTCTAGTCCTAAGCAATCACTAATATCCTTTCTCTATTAACATTTCATAGAAATGGAATCATATAATATTTGGGCTTTTGAAATTAGCTTCTTTCACTTAGGATGTTGTTTTTAAGACTCATGCATGTTATAGCATGTGTCAATACATCATTCTTTTTTATGACTAAATAATATGCCATCATGTAAACAGATCATATTTTGTTTATTTGTTCATCAGTTGGTGGATGTTTAGGTTATTTCCAACTTTTAGATATTATGAATAATATTGCTATAAACATTCATGTATAAGTTTGCAGTTGGATGCAATTTTTATCTTGGGTATATACCTGAGAATGGAATTGCTGAGTCAATGGCAGTGCTTTATTTAATCATTTAAATAACTTTCAGAATATTTTCCAAAGTTCTACACCATTTTACATTCCTAGCAACAGTGTATGAGAGTTTCAATATACCCATATTCTCAATAAAACTTGTTATTATCTAAAGTTTTGATTCTAACCTTCTTACTTGGTTGACTCTCTCATTGGTCTCATTGTGAGTTTTATTTTGCATTTCTCCGATGACAAATGACACTAAGCACCTTTTCACCTGCTTATTAGTCATTTGAATATCTTTCTTGAAGAGCAGTCTTTTTGGATCTAGTGTCCATTTTTGAATTGGGTTATTTTTCTTTTTATTATTGATTTCTAAGTATTTTTTATATATTCTAGATAGGAGTCCCTTATCAGAGGTGTAATTTATGAATATTTTCTTTCATTCTGTGCGTCTTCTTTTTACTTTCATAATAGTGTCTTTTGAAGCACAAATTTTTACTTTTGGTGAAGTACAATTTATCCTTTTTATATTAGCCTGTTTTCATACCGCTAAAAAGAACTGCCCAAGACTGAGTAATTTATAAAGAAAAGAGGTTTAATTGATTCACAATTCAGCATGGCTAGGGAGGCCTCAGGAAACTTACAATCATGGCAGAAGGCAAAAAGGAACCAAGGCACCTTCTTTACAAGGTGGCGGGAAGAAGTGCTGAGCGAAGTGGGGAAGAGCTCCTTATAAACCTTCAGATCTCATTAGAACTCACTCACTATCACAAGAACAGCATGGGGGAAACCACTCCATGATTTGGTTGCCTCCATCTGGTTTCCCCCTTGACACGTGGAAATTATGGGGATTTGGGGGATTATAATTCAAGATGAGATTTAAGTGGGCACACAAAACCTAACCATATCACTTTTCATTGTTGCTTTTATTTTTGGTGTCAAATCTAAATCTGACAAATGCCAAATCTGAGATCATGCAGATGTAGTTTTAAGTTTTCTTCTAAGAGTCTTATAGTTTTAGCTCTTATATTCAGGTTTTTGTTTCATTTTAAGTTAATTTTTATATGTTATGCAGTAATGGTTTAACTTCATTATTTTGCATATGGCTATTTAGTTTTCCATCACCATTTGTTAAAAAGACTATTTGTTCCCCATTGTATAGTTTTGGCACCTTTGTAAAATAATTAATTGAATATAGACAAATTGTTTTAAGTTTGGACTCTCAATTTTATTCCATTGATCTATATATCTATTCTTATGCCAGTGCTGCACTGCCTTGTTTGCCATTGCTTTACAGTAAGTTTTGAAATCAGGAGCTATAAGTCTTCCTACATTCTTTATGTTGTTAGAGATTGTTTTGGTTTTGGGGGTCTCTTGTAATTTCATATGATCTTGAAGATTGGCTTTTCAATTTTTGCAAAAAACGAGTAGTCATTGGAGTTTGATAGGGATTGTTAATTCTGTAGATTATGTTAGGTAGTATTGACATTTTAACAATATGAGGCCTTGTTACCATAAACATGGGATATCTTCTATGAATTTAGGTCTTTAAAAATTTCTTTCAGTGATATTTTATAGGTTTCAGTGTACAAGTTTTTCACCTTGGTTAAATGTATTCCTAGGCATTTTATTCTTTTGATAATGTTATAAGAGGCATCGCTTTCTTAATTTATTTTTTGGATTGTTCATTAGTAGTAGATAGGAACACAGCTGATTTACGTGTTTTGATCTTATACACTGAAACTTTGCTTAATTCATTTATTAGTTCTAGTAGTTCTTTTATGGATTATTTGGGATTTTCTAAATATAGAATCCTGCCATCTGTGAACAGAGGTGTTTTTCTTCTGTTTCAATTTGGATGCCTTTTATTTCTTTTCCTTGCCTGGTTGTGCTGTCTAGAACCTTCAGTAGATTGCTGTCTAGAAATGTTGAGAGTGGACACCCTTGTCTTGTTCCTGATGTTAAGGAACATTCAGTCCTTCACCACCAATTATAATGTTGTATAATGTTGGCTGGGGACTTTTTGTAGTTACCCTTTATGAGATTGGGAAAATTCTTTCCTCACCCTGGCAGTTGGTTGACATTTTGTCTTGTAATGAAAGGGTTTTAAATTTTTGTCATTTTTTTAAATGTCTGTTGAAATGATGATGTGGTTTCTGTTATTCGATCTATTATGTGGTGTATTACGTTAATTATTTTCAGTTGGTAAGCCAACTCTGCATTACTAGGCTAAATCTCATTTGGTCATGGTATATAATTTTTTATATGTTGGTGAATTCAGTTTGCTGATATTTTATTGAGGATTTCTACATTCATATTTACATGAGATATTGGTCTGTAGTTCTCTTGTGAAGGCTTTGTCTGTTTTCTGTATCAGGGTAATAACTGGTCCCATAGAATGTGTTGGGAAGTATCCCTTCGTCTTCTAATTCTTGGAAGAGTTTTTGAAAACCTACCATTAATTCTTCACTAAGTGGTGGTTAGGATTCAGCAGTGAAGCCATCTGGGCCTGGACTGGGCTTTTCCTTGTGGGTAGGTCTTGTTGTTGTTGTTGTTGTTGTTTTACTAATTCAATTTATTTTCTTGTTATTGACCTATTCCAATTGTCCATTTCTTCTTGAGTAAGTTTTGGCAATTTGTGTCTTTCTAGGAATTTGTTCATCTAATCTAAGCTATTTAATTTATTGGCATACAATTGTTCATAGTATTTTTTTATAATCCTTTAAAAAAATTCAGTAAGGTCAGTAGTAATGTCTCCTCCTTCGTTTCTGATCCAAGTATAACAATTTAAGCCTTTTCTCTTTTTTCTTGGTCAACCTAGCTAAAGACTGCTAATTTTATTGAGCTTTCCAAAGTACCAGATTTTAGTTTCAATTATTTTATTTATTGTTTTTTATATTCTGTAATTCATTACGTTCTGCATTAATATTTATTTTCCCCTTCCTTCTGCTTGCTTTGGATTTAGTTTGCTCTTTTTTTCCCAGTGTCATCAGATGGAAGTTTCAGATATTGATTTAAGGTATTTCTTTTTTTCTTAATATTGGCATTTACAACTATAAGTTTTCCCTTATGCTCTGCTTTAGTTATAGGCTATGTGTTTTGGTATGTTGTGTCTTTATTTTTATTCATCTCAAAAAGTTCCCTTTTGATTTCTTCTTTGACCCATTAGTTATTTAGGAATGTGCTTTTTAATCTACACTTATTTTTGACTTTGCCAAATTTCTTTCTGCTAATTGATTTCAAATTTTGTTCCATTGTGATTAAAAGACATGCTTTATACTATGTCTATCCTTTTAAATTTACTGAAGTTTGTTTTGTGGCCTCAGCTTCTCAGCCTCTTGAGCTATTTGAAAATTTGCATATATCTCAAGGTCCAAAAATATATAAAAAAGCATAAACGTTGGGCACACCTCAGTGAATTCCTCTTCAGAATCTTGGCTCCTCAAATCTCACCTCTCTTGGTAGCTCTCTGCTGTCTTAAAGCAGATTGTTCAAATCTAGGTCTTTTCAGTCATTCTTAGGAGGAAGGTTGAGCTACTGCAAGCTAGTTCATCATAGATGGAGATGGAAAGCAACCCATAAACACGTATGTGAATGTATTCATATGTGAGTGTGTCAGCATAGGTGACGTCTGTTTATATGAATCTCATTTGACCAACAAATTCTGTAACCACTATTTCCTCTGTCAATTGGTCAGTATAGAGAAATTCTTATCTAAAATCACAGCTATCACTCACGCTTGTAATCCCAGCACTTTGGGAGGCTGAGGCAGGTGGATCACCTGAGGGCAGGAGTTCAAGACCAGCCTGGCCAACATGGTGAAACCTGTCTCTACTAAAAATACAAAAATTAGCCAGGCATAATGGCAGGCGCCTGAAATCCCAGCTACTTGGGAGGCTGAGGCAGGAGAATCGCTTGAACCTGTGAGGCAGAGGTTGTAGTGAACCAAGATTATGCCACTGCACTCCATCCTAGGTGACAGAGTGAGACTGTCTCAAAAAATAAAAATAAAATAAAATAAAATAAAATAAAATCACAACTATCATTAAGCTGTGACTTGTTTTCTCCTTTCTCCAGGATTTTGTGTCATGTATAGAGAACTACAGAAGAAGAGGACAAGAGCTATATGCATCTTTATACAAAGACCATGTGCAAGTAAGAAATCAGACATAGGCTTTCTCTATACAGTAAGCTGGAATCCACCTTGAACCTGAAAAATAATCAGAAGGGGCTTTGGTTTAAGTTCTGGATTGCCCACCAGGCTTGCACCACATTGAGGTTTTGCATTTTATCCTAAATGCAATGGGTTGCCCCTAACAAGGGCAGGCTTGGATATTTAAAGTAGCTATCTAGGCCTGACTGCTGTACAATCTAGGCAAAGAACACCGGCTCTCATGCCAGTCAGAGACTTATTTGAATTCTAAATCTGTCCCTTTCTATGCTGGTGGTCTGAGCCTCTGTGTGCTCATCTCTAAGCTGGAATAAGCCTTCCTGCCTGTGAAGATGTAAGAGCAAGTGTGAAGCACCCAGACTGTGGCTGATAGAGAATGGATACTCCATGTGTGGTTATAGAAATAGCTAAGAAGTTTATTTTTATTTAGTGTTACTGTTATTAATGAAAATTTAACATATTGCTAAAAATAGAACACAACATACAGTCTTAAAACCCTGTTGAAATATTATTTACCGAGCAATTTCTTTGTCCCAGAGTCAGTGTGAGGTATTAAAAAAAATGCACAGATTATGGTACTCCTGTGTCTTTAAGGTTTTTGAAACTTATAGGTGAAACCCAGAGTAAAGAAATGCCCACAAAATATGGTGATGAGCTCAATGATAGGATGTTCTACTATGGGGAAAGTAGCGATGGGGTGTAAGGAGCCATTAGTGTGCCCTGGGTGGGCCGCGGATCAGGAAGGCTTAAATGTGGTGCGCAGTGCCAGGAAACAGAAGAGGCACTAATCATCTGAAGCTGAGTTGGCTTGTCTAACTTCCCCCATAGAAGCCCACAACATGCCCCATTCACAGATGTGCAGCCTGAACCCGAGAAGCACACAGCTTAGCAATGTAGCCTCCCAGGCTCTCCTGAGTGATGGGAGCAGCAGCTTATCAGACACGACACTTGTGAGAAAGGAGGTTTGGTGTGTACAGGACGTGATCATGGCTGTGATAGTCAGAGGGATCAGCAGGCATGTCTAGTTTTTCTGAGTGCACAAGCTGGTCTTTCACAGACCCTCTGGTTGGACAAGGGCTTTCTCTGTGGGCATCTACCTCACTCCAACAGTGCTGACTGTGCTGCACAACTGAGTAGGGTGCCTTGCTGGCTTATTTGGGTATCATCTGTGCCTACTGGACAGACCACTGCACATGAATGACTCACCACAGGGATTGGCAGGTTTCACTCAGAACTAGCAATATGGCTGATAAATTTAATTGCCACTGAGGCGGAAATAAGATGAGTCTTGTAAGATTGCATCCTTTATTGGTGGACATCCTCATCACCACTGCACCATTTTGAGACAGAGGATGTGGTTTATCTAAACTTCCTAATCTACATCTGGTCTGGAGTGCAACCATTTCTGCTCCAATGGTTAGAAGAGTCTGGGAGATACAGTTATGGCCAGGAGAGGTGCCCTGGGGTACTTTGTGAAATTCTGTTGAAATTTGTGAGATTATAGGTTCGTGTGGGAAGGATGGGACTCCCTCAGCAGAGGCTTCAAGCCCAGAATGAAGGGATCTAGCCACCTGGAAGGTTAGCCTGTCTCATCTTCAGCAGCAGGGCCTGACTGGAGTTCAGAAAGGACTTGAATAAATTGTGCAATTTTCCTGTTGATTGAGGTATTTTTCAGAAAATCAGCATTTGGAAGCGAATCCACAAGGATACTTTCCAAGTATTTAAATATTTAAGACAGGTTGTTTTGATATTTGAAAGAATGCAGATATAATAACATCTGCCATAGATAATGGGATGTGGACCATAGCCCTGCTTTTTTAAGGGGTAGTATGCTTTCCCAACAAAGGCCCATTCCACTTCCAGAAAAGTCACATCCAAACTCTGGACAGAGATTAGGCTTAAAAAATCTGCCACGTCCTTTGAGGACAGCTTCTCCCAGGTGCACCCAATGAGGCCCTCCTAAGAAGGGGAGATTCAGGGGCCCCTGCCCACAGGGTGGCCAGTAGCACATCATGCCAGACTTTTCTAAACAGGCACTTTACCCACAACTGAGAGGTGACTGGAGATGGCAGCAGCCCCCAGCATAACAAGGCATCATTGCCTAGTGCCCTGGAAGTTAACCCCAGCATCATTATATCCCATTATTATATCAACAGCAAACCTTGCAATTCAAATAGTTAATCAGCCAAATTTTTTTTTGATCCAGAAGTTCTGGCAAAAAGTTGCCTCTACAGTCTGGCCCTCTTCGGATTCCCCTTTGCCTTGTCCACGTTAGTTGCGTTCTCTTCTCTGTGGCCCAGCCTCTCTTGCTCTGTCTGTTACATACTTAGGCCATCCAGTTCTTATGTTGAATCTTCATTATAATTTGCAGAAATGACTTATCCTGCCTACACAGTCTTTACTGGTTGGAGTTCCTTGTGAGATGCCTGACAACCCAGAAATGGCCACTGTCTTCTGTCCCACTTTCTTCTAGGGCCTCTAGTTTCCTTTTCTTGTTTGGTCTCTATCTACTCATTGCATGTTTATCACAGCTCTCTCAGATACAAATATTGGAAACTCAACTCAGACTGCCTTAGGCAACAAAAAAAGTTTTGTATTACTGAAGAATGCAGGGAAACGCAGGCTTCAAGCGGTGCTGGATCAAGTTCCGTGCTCTGCTTCCTCTGTGTGGGCTCCTGAGGGTGCCATTCCCAGCCCTAAGGGGTGGTGCCAGTCGGCCCATCTGATAACCATTCATAACAACTTGGATTAAAGAGACTAGGGTGAAGTGTTCATTTTCGAAGCCCAGCAAACCCCATTGAAGTAGCAGGGACTGAAAGTAGGGAAGGGCTGGGTTTTCAAAGGTTAATCTAAGTGTTGCTACCCAAGGGTTGCTGTGATTTGAAAATCATAACTGGGCAAGTACGGTGGCTCATGCCTGTAATCCCAGTGCTTTGGGATGCTAGGCAGGAGGATTGTTTGATTCCAGGAGTTCAAGGCCAAACTAGGCAACATTGCAAGATCCCATCTCTTAAAAAAAAGTAGTTAAAAAGACATTAGCCAAGTATAGTGATACCTTTAGTCCCAGGTACTCAGGATGCTGGGGTGGGAAGATTGCTTCATCCCAGGAGTTGGAGGTTACAGGTTACAGTGAGCTATGACCATGCCACTGCTTTCTAGCCTTCTAGCCTGTGTGACAGAAAAAGATCTTGTCTCTGAAAAAAAAAAAAAGAAATTGTAGTTGTCCCCCAGCATAACACAATCCCTGCCTGTGAGTCTGTGGGCCTTAAATGTGTCATTTGGCCCACTTGCAGTTTGAATAGAAAGAGGGCCTTACACTATGCAGAAACATGGGCATTTCAGAGCACCTTTGCAGATGTGGAAACTCAGGACTTTTGCTATTTAGTCATCTGACATCCTCTGCCCTGGGTCACATGTAACTTGCTATCATGGACTAAATAATCACATCTCTCTCAGGGATCACACCATTGTCTGACTATAGATATTCAAGACAACATGTGTGCTCTGTGCAGAAGACCCAGGCAGCTGTGCATCTCCAGGCTGCATGTGTGGAGACTTGGCGTGGATATGTGTTCCTAAAAAACTAAGTTGAATCCAAGGCTGGACAACCCAATAGCTTGGGATTATTCATCCTCCATGACGCTCCGTATGTTACTACAAATGCAAATGTACAAATGTCACTGCAGTCTCCAGGAAACTGAAATATTTCTGCCAAACAAGTGCTCATTCCATGTGACCAAGTCTCTGTAAAAAGCTTTGGATAATCATTCTTTTTCTGGCAGCCTTTTTTCTTTTTTTTGGGGGGGGGACAGGGAGGGTCTTATTTTGTTGCCCAGGCTGGAGTACAGTCGTGTAGCATAGCCCACGGAAGCCTTGAACTCCTGGGCTCAAGAGATCCTCCTGCCTCAGCCTCCCAAATAGCTGAGAGTACAGTCGTGCACTAACATGCCCAGTTATTTCTTTAATTTTTTGTAGAGACTAGGTCTTGCTATGTTGCCCAGGCTGGTCTTGAACTTCTGACCTCAAGAAATTCTCCCACCTTCGCCTCTGAAAGCGCTGGGATTAGAGGCATGCACTGCAATGTACATCTTGGAGTTTCTTATTAACCAATTGGAGTACTACATAAAATACTAGCACTGTTTGGGATATGAATTCAAGAACTGTAGAGAAAGAAAATGATCTTGTTTTGAAATAGGATTAGGTTCATTCACAGTGATAACACTGACTACTTAAGCTGAGTAAGGTACCATATTAAGCTCTTGAAAATATTGTCCCGCTTAATCATTCTAGAAGCCCATGATTATTATTATGGTACTATTATTAACCACAGTTGACTGATGAGGAAGTTGAAGATCCTCCAGATTGAACTGCTGGTGATTCACAGAAACATGATGGATGATCAGGTCCATCAGATGCCAGAAACCACCTGCTGGGCACTATCCCCCACCCCAAAGCCATATTTTAATGGGAATGCCTCCAACAAGTTCTGAGAACAATTTACTCATTTAAAACGGCCAAGATTTGCAAGGCCTACATCTATAAGTCTTCCAGTTTTCTAGAAATGCTAGCAGAAACCATGAGCTCATAAAATAATAGCCCCTCAGCAAAGGAATCTAGCTCCCATGCTTAAGGAAGTCTTTGGAATCCAACAGACCAGGTTTAAATCTCTGTTTGGCCACCTGTTAGCTTTGGAGAAGGCACTTCTCCTTTGCAGACTTAGCATCATCATGGGGATGATCAAAAATACTTGTGGTACCACTGGGAAGAGGAAATGAGATAAAGCAGGTGCAGGGCTCAGCCTAACACATGATAATGAGTGTCTTTTCTGTTCATGATGTTATGCTTCTTGTCATTAGCATTTCACCTTTTCATTTTCTGAAAAGATTAAATTTGGGACAAATTCCATAAAATATTTGAATAATTGCAAAAGTGTATCCCACAAAGTTGACTCTACTGTCCAAACTGAACTGAACTGTTTCTTTAACAGGTGATGTATGTAACTTTAATGTGATCTATAAATGCAGGTTGGCAATATCAATGTTAGAAAGGTTTGAGTCATACTCTAGTAGCAAGTGTGGCAGTCAGAGACCACAGATGCAAACTGTGAGGATCTCACAGCTATTAAATGAGATTGTTTGCATTGCTATGAAAGGTTTTAGCTCCTGTTAATATTCTAGAATCTCTGAACATTCTGGAATCTATGATATTAACATGGAAAGGTCCTTAGACATCATTCGGGCCAGGTCTGTCATTTCATTGGAGAGTCTGAGATCCAGAGATGGGAGTGACTTGCTCAAATCAACCAGTTGTCTTGAGGGCTTCTCATTCTCACTCCATTCCAGTCCAGGCAACTGGAAAAAGAGTACATTCAGTCTCAGTTTTGAGGGGTGGGACTGTAGTGAGATTCATGTCCATTTGGTAAAATAGCTGTCCAGTCCATGCTGATGAGCAGCTACAGGACCTTCCAGACCTGTTGCTTTCTGCCCATCACCAGTAGCCTCATGGCACTGAAGGCCAAAGGGCGGGCAGCTTTCTCTCTCCCCTAACTTGGATTAAGAGATCTAAAGCTGAGCAACTGTTTCCTCCAGTCGGCTGCAGTGGGTACCCTACACGATTCTGAGGGTGTAGAGGAGAAGGTATCTTTCTCAACATTCATGGGAGACGTTGGCTATTCGGCCCCAGGA